TTAATTTTCCGAATAAAGTCAACTGTAACAAGAGCATCATTTGAAATACAATAAGATATTATCAATTTTTGTAGACCAGCAGCTACTGTAGCACTCAGAACTTGTGTTGCATAACGAACCTTCATTTTCTGAAAGTTATTAGGAGTAACATGACACTCTGTAAGTTTTGTATTGGAAGGATTACTAGACTGCCACCTACTTCCGATGTGCCACGGGCTGACCTACCGAGATGGCGTTCGCCACCGCGCTGCTAGGGATCTTACGAACAGGACGATACCGTTCTATTGTACTACATTATCCATGATTCAAGTCCTTTGTCTGACACACAAGAGTACGTTCACGAATTCACAAGTGTCGTATAATAAAGCATCTTTTGTTGCACAGATCCTGAGTTGCTCGACCTTTATCACTACTTCCAGCCGCCCTAACAGGTTATGGGCCCAGAGCGAAAGTAATATCGGTGAGAAATAAACAAGGTGCGCGGAAAATACTTCGAGTGAATATACGAGGTTAGAATCGCCACGCGGCGTACACGCATCGAAATGGCGGGATCCAGCACAATAAGAATAGAACAATTAAATCGTGAAAACTATGACACTTGGAAAAGCCAAATGCAAGCCATCCTAACGAAGAACGATGTTTGGGCATATGTGAACGGAAGGAAACCGAAACCCGAGATTCTAGAAGCCGACGCCCAGTCCGCGGAAGCGGCGAAGAAGTGGGAAGCCGAGGACGAGAAGGCGAAGGCTGACATAATTCTCAGCATCAAGCCATCCGAATTAACGCAAATCAAAGGCTGTGCTACTTCAAGGGAACTATGGATAAAATTGCAAGGTATCTATCAATCGACGGGACCAGCCAGAAAAGCGGCGTTGATAAAGCAGCTAACCTATCACCGCATGAACGACGGAGAGGACGTTCGAGAGCACATTCTCGCTTTCTTCGAAACGGTGGATAAGCTGAACGAGATGGACATCCAAATAAATCCTGATTTATTATCGGTAATGTTGCTACATAGTTTACCTGCATCATTCGCAAATTTTCGCTGTGCCATTGAGTCTAGAGATTCGTTGCCTTCTCCAGAGACTCTGCGTATCAAGATTACAGAGGAGAACGACGCGAGGAAGAGCGAGACACGCGAAAACGGTTCGACGGCAATGTTTGCTAGAAAGTCTTTCAACAAGAAGCCGACCGGAAAGAAGAATGACAACGACGGTAAGGACGAGGCAAAGAAGAATCCATCGAAGAAGGAGTATTTTAAATTCAGGTGTCACAAGTGCAGAAAAATCGGTCACAAAGCCGCAGACTGCAACGAGCGTTCCAGAAACGACGATGACGCCAACGCTGCTGAAGACATTTCCCTGTGTGTGAGAACCGATGAATGGACAAAAACTCATCAGAAGGCATTTACTTCGCAAGAATCAATCCATCGCGAATCCTGGTGCCTCGATAGTGGCTGCACATCCCACATGTGCACTGACAACGGACATTCCATCGTAACTAACGCCAAGACGACTGGCAAAGTACATCTTGCTAATAATGCCTGTGCCGAAGTAATGGGAAGAGGAACCGTGTCATTCGCCACTGAAGTCGACGGACATGAGAGAAACGTGAAGCTGACCGATGCGCTATACGTCCCTCAGTTAAGAACCAATCTGCTATCAGTTGGAAAGATATGCGACAAGGGGCTGAAGGTCACTTTTGAAAAACATCAAACCACTATCTTCGACACAAACGGGAATTCTATGCTGAAGGCAAGCCGAGCGAGCAACGGTCTATACTGCTTACAAGCGAAGAGTCCAGAGAGCACCGCCAGCGCAGAGTGGAACAACGAGGCGAACATGGAATTCAGATCAACGGAGAATTGGCATCGAAAATTGGGTCACCTGAACTTCAAAGACCTAGTAAAGTGCGCGAAAAATGGAACCGTGGAAGGAATAAAGCTTGGAAAGTCTCCTGACGACGACTACAATTGCGAAACGTGCACGAAAGGGAAGATGACTAGGGCATCATTTCCTAAGAAATCGGAAAGGAAGACGAAGTTGCTAGAAATCATCCACACCGACGTATGCGGTCCAATGCGTACAGAGTCATTAGGTCGTTCGCGTTACTTCATCACGTTTATAGACGACGTGTCTAGATGGTGCGAAGTGAGATTTTTGAAGAAGAAAAGCGATGCTCTACAAGCCTTCAAAGAATACAAAGCCAAGGTTGAAAATCAGACCGGAAGACGCATACAATGTCTCCAATCAGACAACGGCACCGAGTACATAAACACCGCCTTCGATACACTCTTAAAGGAAAGTGGAATAAGCCGAAGACTTGCGATACCGTACACACCCGAGCAGAACGGCGTAGCTGAGAGGAAGAACCGCACTCTCATGGAAACAGCCCGTTGTATGCTGCTGGAATCCTCTCTACCAAAGTACCTGTGGGCCGAGGCGATAAATACTGCAAACTTCATCCGTAACCGATGTCCATCTAACTCCATCAAAGGATGTACTCCCTTCGAGAAATGGACCGGAAAAGTTCCTAATGTAACAAATTTCGAAATATTTGGATGCAATGCGATGATCTTGGATACGGAGCCGCAGAAGGACAAATGGAGCAGCAAATCCAAACAAGGTAAATTTGTAGGCTATTCCGAAATATCTAAAGGAATTCGTATTTATATTCCAGAAGAGCGAAAGATTCAAATCAGTAGAGATGTCCGAATAACGAAGGAGGACCCCAGGAACGAATTGTCCAAGCTGCAAGATGACGATAATCCTCTAATAATTGAAAGGGCCAAATGCGAGAAAGAGACAATAGACATCCCGATAAAGGCGACGAGTTCAACCAATGAACATCGAGATGCTCTCCCGAGCGCTCCTGCAAACGAGCACCGAGATTTCCCTGAGGACGAGCAACGGAACACTCCAGCCATCGGGACGGCAGATGAATCAGAAACTGAATCGGTCTACAGCGATATCACAGAAAGAAGACGCGGCCCTGGAAGACCTCGTATTATACGCACCGGTCGCAGGGGGAGACCGAGGAGATTGTTTCACGACGCGAATTTCGTCGAAGTATTCTTTATATTTATATTCTTATATTCAGCATAATTATTTAAGGTACAGAGAAAAGACTTACAGTCCTGGTCTATGTAAGGAGTATTTAGTTTTAGTTATTCATGTTATCCATTGATTTTTTTTTTATTAAATTTGGTAGCACTCTTAAGTGAGATTCCAATCGCCGAAGCTATACGTGGTCAGGACTCTGAAGAGTGGTTGGATGCCATTGCTGACGAATTGAAATCCATACTCAAGAACGACACCTGGTCCATCGTAACTCGACCCGAAAACGTAAAGGTCCTAGGAAGCAGAGTTGTCCTGAGAAATAAGATGAACAAGGATGGAATGCTGGAAAGAAGAAAAGCTCGAATTGTTGCAAAGGGTTTTGCTCAGAGGCCAGGAATCGATTACGATGATGCATTCGCTCCTGTAGCCAGAATCGAGTCAGTGCGAACGTTGGCCGCACTAGCAGCTGAACACGACATGGGAATAGTACACTTTGACGTGGCCACTGCATTTCTAAACGGAAAATTGCAGGAGAAGGTTTACATGGAACTGCCGAAACATCTTCACGAGGCGCTGGAAACTATAATTGAGAAATTGAACGAACTTACCTGAAGTGAAGTTCGATTACAATTATGCTGTCTCGTCCGGATGGATACTATGTAGTGCGTTCCTCGCACGTAGATCTCAACAGGTATCTTAAAGCGACTAAAAAACTTTTAACGTTTGTGCATTGGCCCGATGGCCGCGCACGCGCGGGTCGCGCCCCCCTTGGTGCTTCATATCTTTAAAGCTAGCAAATCTGGTTTTGAGAGAAAAAGGGTGGGGGGGACCCTCCATCCGGACGAGACAGCATAAATGTAATCGAACTTCACTTCAGGTAAGTTCGTTCAATTTCTCAATTATGCAACGTCTCGTCCGGATGGATACTATGTAGATGTTTAAAGCTAAGATTTGCAAGAAAATGAAAAAGAAATTTATTCATGTAAATGAGACAATTTTCAAGCAATCGGTATTAATTGTTAAGAATAACTGATTGAAAGGATGGATCCTTAACGATGGGGCGATTATAAAAACGAGCAAAGACGTTGGAGGAGCTGGTCCAGCCCGCCGTGCGTCGAATCTCATCCACATTAACTCCCTTGCTGGCCGCAAAAGAAGTTGAGACATGACGCGTGGAATGTGCCGAGAAGATCGATACGTCGATTCCCGCTTTGTTTAATTCCGCCTTAACCCATCGTCCTAAAGTCTGGGCGGATACTGCCCTATGGGGTGCACGAAAAGAAATGAACAGAGAATCACAATTCTCACCACGAAGCTCCTGTGTGAGCGTTATGTAATATTTTGTTAGGGAGAAAACGCAAAGTCCTGGTCTGTCTAAGAAAGGACGGAACGTGAGTATGGGTTGAGACTAGGGTTGTAACGAATATTCGCTTTCGCATATGCGAAAGCGAGACTTTCGCATCATTTTAGACTCTCGCTTTCGCTTTCGCTTTCGCAACTAATTATGCGAAAGTTTTAGCGAAAGATTTTGTCCGGCCCGCACGTAGAACTCTAACCTAACCTGCGATATTTTGTCGGTACGTACATATATACGACACTGAGTGGCGCTTGTGGCGCGCTCGAGTCTCCCCCACTTTGTCCAAAGCTGCGCGAAGCGAGGGTATTCCCTCCGTGGTCCGGGTATAAACTCGTGCAGATCAGCGCAACCAACTTCGAGATTGTCAACGCATAAGATACTAAGACGGTATACGCAATATTCGATTGTGATTGGTCGATTCGTTTACTGCTTACGTTCGTAGCCAATTGACCAATCACAATCGTGTATTCCGTATGCCGTCTTAGGCTGGGTCTACGTAGGATGTAGTAAGTCGTGTCGGAAGAAATTAACCAATCACAGTTCATTATTCTTCGACCGTAAGGAGAATAATGAACTGTGATTGGTCAATTTCTTCCGACACGACTTACGACAGCCAATGTAGACCCAGCTTTACTATCTTATGCACCGGCAGTCTGGAAGTTGGCTGCGCTGATCTACACGAGTGTATACATGCACGATTCCAACCTTGATAGGACACCCCAGCAGTGATGCAAAGTTTGGGTTCCAAAGTTTGCATCTCTGCACCCCAGTCCCAGTGGGCCTCTTGCTACTGCTGTGTGATATAAATTATAATAATTAATAAACGTGAGAACTGATAACAATGAAACCAAAATCCAGTTTTATTTGGAACTTTTATGATGAAGTGGAGAGTGACAGAGCCAAGTGTAAAATATGTGACAACGTTTATTCTCGCAAAGGACGGTGTACTACAGGTTTAATAACACATTTAAAGTTAAAACACAATGATGAGTATTTGCAATTCATAGATTTACGAGATAAATCAAAAGAATCTGTTGCCACATCAACTTGTACATCGAGTACACCGTTGCAAGCTATAAAAAAACAAATGACTTTGCAAGAATCTTTACAAAAAAAAGATTACTGGGATTCATCTAATATAAAGACAATCGAATTTGATAAATTAATCGCAGAGATGATTGCTCTACAAGATTTGCCTTTTAATTTTGTTGAAAGCATCGGGTTTCGCCGATTAATGCAAGCTGCATTACCCCGTTATAAATTGAGAGGACGTGAATATTTCACTTCATTCTTGTGTGAAAATCTGTACAACCAGATGGCTAGTAAAGTAAAACAGTTACTGGAAGGTTTCAATAAGCTGTCTTTTACAAGTGATGTCTGGTCAGATCCTAGTGCTGGCGTGTCCCTTTTGAGTTTGACTGCCCACGGAATTACAGAAAATTTTCGTAAAGTAAACATTATACTAAAATGTGAGCCAATTGAGGGTAGTCATACGGGTGCTGTGATATCAGAAAAACTTATAATGATGTTAAATGAATGGAACCTAACTGAGAAAGTTCATTGTGTAGTACGTGATCGAGGCTCAAACATGATTCGGGCTATGAATCTTTCAAATTTCACTCACATTGATTGCATCGTACACCAAATTCAGCTCTGTGTCCGAGCAGGTATAGAATCTGAAGATCATCTTTTAAAAATTATTGCAAAAAATAAACAAATAGCAACACACTTCAACCATTCTATATTGGCTCAGGATGAATTATATAAAATACAAACACAGCGACTTAATCAACCATCTCTCGCTGTTATACAAAATTGCCCAACCAGGTAATTTTTAATTATATAATTAACATAGATAGGAATAATAATCAAGTTTATTATAACTTAGTTCTGTTTCGTTTTTCCTTCTAGGTGGAACAGCACATATTATACAGGGTGCTACGCAAGACTTTGACGTCCGGTCATGGGAAGGTAGAGGGGACTAAGACAAACAGAAAAGTATTGTACTATTTTGCGCTTGGACGAATAGTTATCGAGATACGAAATTTTAAAAATCGCCGTATTAGCCCAACCTACTGGCGAATGTAAGCGCGCGGTGAGGTGACCGGCCTAGCGGCCCCGCTCGAGGCGGTGTTCGGCGAGGAATAGAATGGCGGTGCGGGGCGAGGAGTAGGGAGGCGAGGCGCGCCGCTGCCCGTCCGCCGCTTACGCGACCGCTCGCACGTCTCCCCGCGCGG